GTTGCCCCTCCTCGAGCTAAGTCTCTGCTGTATCTTGCAGCAGGCGGTGAGGACAACGCTCGCCGCCGTCTTCTACCGCCTTGACCGTCGTCCAGATCGGGTCGTTGGAGTCGGTTTTCGAAATCGGCAAGCCGTTTGTTTAGGTACAAGTCCAATGGTGGGACCCACGTCTCTGTCTCGAGGTTACGGATTGGGGTAGACTTAAAGGCTCCCGCCACGATCCGCAAGCTCTTGTTCTGGGCCTTCCCGAGGGCTTTGGTGATGCCTTTCTTTACCGGCTCGCCTCCCACATCCGTGGGGATGTGAAACGATGATGCGCCATAGGCCAGCGCCGACCGGATGCACTTTGTGTATACTTCTCGTGCTTTGGCTAGCCCCATTGCCCACGTCTTTGCCACGATCCTCGTCGGGGCGTAGCTCTGGGTCCTCAGCTTCCTTTCCACCGCCACCAGGTGAGCTTTCCAGTTGAGTTTCCAGTCCAGCCAGACTCCCAGGAATCTGGCAGACCCTTCTGGTTTGACGGGGCTAGTGCCTCCCCCTGTGTTAGTAAGGTTTACCTGTTTGGTCCACTGTCGTCGCCCCTTGTTGCAATGGATGAGTTCGCTCTTTTCCGCGGCGAACTTCATCCCCCGACTTTCCGCCCATCGTAGACACGTTTCCCATGCCCCTTCCAGCTGCCGGATGTTAACCTCGGGGTTTCGGCCGAAAGCCAGGAGGTTGGTGTCATCCGCAAACCCCACAATAGCCAAGTGGGGATGTTCGTCCTTCAGCTGCTTGTATAGAGAGGCAATGTAGAGAATGAAAAGGACCGGTGAAAGGGGTGAGCCCTGGGGGAACCCTGCCCGAATCGCCGTTGGGGTCGCTGCCTTGCCGTCGAAAAGGAGGGTGGCCTCTCGGCCGGTCAACCAGTCTCTTATCCAGAGAACCAGCCACCCCGGGTAGCCCATTTCCCGCAGAGTTGCTAGCAGTCGGGTATGGTTGACCGTGTCAAAGGCTCCTGAAATGTCCAGTTGCAATAGAGACGCCGCACCCTTCTGTCTCCACGCCTCCTGGACCTGGGCTACCACTAGCCGGACAGCTAGTTCCGTGGAGCGGTGTGCCCTGTCTCCCATTTGTTCGTCTGGGAGCAGGCCGTTGGTCTCTGCCGCTAGGGTGATCTTCGTGGCGACCACCGACTCTATTACTTTCCCCAGGGTTGGTAGCAGAGCAATGGGCCTGTATCCCCCCGGGGTCTGATACACCGGCGGAGCCTTTCCTGGTTTCGGCAGTACTACAGTCTTCGCCCTCTTAAAACGGTTGGGGAACCATCCTAGCTCCAGGCACCTTTCGCCAGAACGGTCAGCACTTCAGCTAACGGTGCTCCGTACGCCTTCAGAAGGCCTATCGGGAGCAGGTCCTCCCCTGGCGCCTTCCAGGGGCTCGCTCCTCCTATCGCCCTCGTGATCTCGGCCGGCGTCACTGGCTAGTGAGACGTCGGAGCCCGCGTCTGGGCTGTTCAGGAAGGTTTGGTCTTGCACGTCTGTGAGATTGGCCGGGGGGCTCGGGAAGAACCTCTCGGCCAGGGCGTTGGCTTTCTGGTCATGCGTTTCAGCCGTCACTTGCCCAGACGAATTCTTGAATGCCGGTAGTTTCGGTGGTTCAGGCGGTAGAAAGCTCCGTAGTCTGGCCCATCTTTCCAGGCTCCACATCCGGTCAGGTTTTCTCGCCTCGCTTGCCTTCTGCAGGTCGCTCCTCCAAGCCCTCGTCCGTGCTTCGCGGGTTGACCTGGCGAGGTCCTTGAGCCTCTCGCTGAGCTCTTCCCAACAGTACTCTGCCCGGGTCTCCTTGGCCAATCTCTCGGCTCTCCTAGCCTCCCGGGCAGCCTGTTGCACTTCCCTGGTCCACCAAGGAGAGCTGAAGCCGCAATTGGCCTTCTTCCGTGGGGTGCTCTCCCCAGCGACCCAGGTGAGCCATTCGACTAGGTTGTCGAATGCTCTGCCGAGACCTTCGGTCGTCCGGATTCTAGCCACCAGTCCATTTGGCCCCGGGTCTATGAGGCCCATCACCTCGCAGAGCAGTGCTGATTCGGCTTTCACCCTTTCTCTATCCATCTTCTTCCAGGCCCATCCCACTGGTTGGGCCGGCCTCGGCCCAGTCCCTGTCCCAATCTCGAGCACTTGCGGGTAGTGGTCTGACTTGCCACGGCACTCTTCCCCGTGGTATACCGTATGGATGCACTCCGAGGCCCAAAAGTGATCGATGGTTGACGTGCGGCCTCGTTGCCGCTCCTGGGGAGCTCGCGTAACTGCTCCCCTCGGCGTCCTGATGGTAAGGTCCCACAGGGAGCTTATTTGTAACAGATCTTCGGCTCCCCTTTCGTAGCGTCCGAATTCGTCCCACAGCGGGTGCTGCAGGTTAAAGTCCCCCGCCAGAACTACTGGGTGGTCTGGCCTCGGCCGTCCCTGGAGGGCCTGTGGTACGTTCTCACCGTTCGGGGGGTTGTAGACGGACCATAGCTCGAGCCCGTGGCCTTCTTGGCCTAGGTCCGCCTCTGGGAACCGTACGCGACACCAGTTCTCCGAAACCTCGGAGTCCCACTGCCCGATCTCGAATTTCTTGCTCACATATATCGCTGCTCGCCCCTCGAGCTTGAACACCAGATGGTATTTGCTGCTCCGGGGGCAGTACGTAAACTTCGTCTCCCTGTTGATCCATGGTTCCTGCACCTCCAGGAGGTCGTACTTGGCTTCCTCTAACAAGACCTCTAGTGCTTGCTTGTTTCCTTCGGTGTTCCAGAGTAGGATTCTAAATCTCATCCTCTGCGACGGTGATCGAATCTTTTGGTAAGAAATAGCATAACCCGCCCAACAAAATAACCGAGGGTTTCGTTATCGATGATTTTGGCCTCAACTGCTTGGCCTATTCTTATTGTTCGGGGTGTCGTCTTGCCCGATAGCTGGGCCTCGCGGTCAAGTAACTGCAGCTCAACATTGCTCACCTCCTGCAACCGTGGGTGCTGCTTCTTTTCCGGGTCAACGTAATGTTAGATCTCGGCCAGCAGGGACTCCCGGACCCGGAGAAGCCCAGTCCTGGGGGAGATTTCATTGCGGTACAATTTACCAATGCTGGCTGACGCGAATGGCATGGAGCCCTGGTTGTATTCCAGCAGCTTTTTGAAGTTCAAGAACTGCCCCTGGGCCGTTTCGGGTCGCAGATAGATGGGCGCTGCAGTGCTCGGTCCTTTGGTAGACTTGAACATCAGATTGAAAGGGACAGGTGGCAGGACCTCGTTGTTGTTCTCCGGGTTCCGGATGTCGTGCAGCTTGATTAGCTCCGCTAGCCCGTCACCATCGTAGTTGTCGATCTAGTTAACGACATCGGATTAGCATTCGTGACTATGAGAATGCAGGTAACGGAAGATAAAATAGGGGTCACCTTTGCCAGGAGTTAAACTATACATCACAAAGACCCTCCTCATCAGCTGCAACTTGGTCGGGCAGGCGAGGCCATTTCCCCTTCTTCTTTGCCTGGAGGAGAACGTTCTTGTTGATATGGAAACGGCACAGCTGTTGTTGGGCATCCGGAAACGTCTCCTTCAGGGCGTCCCTCATCCTTTCGTCTTTATCAGTGATCGTTACGGCTGGAGATCGGGCTTCAAGTTGGACCTGGAGTTCCTTGACTCCCTGAGAAAGGAAATCAAAGCCCTCACGGCGTTCGTTATTGATCAAGCCGAAGGCAACGTTTGCAGTAGAGTTGATATTCGTCTGGGTGATAATAACAAACAGGGGAAATCCAAGTGCGTTGGTACTGTGAGTATTGTCAAAACTGAGGCAGTCTGGGAAGCGCTTCCACATCTCCTGACACTCTGGGAAGGTAAGAGCGATGCCCAAAAGGCGGTTGGGATCTCGGGTATCCCATTTCGGGACATATAGGACTCCTTCCTGGTCAATAGCCTTGATCACAGCCCCGGAGGCAGTACAACCATCCTTTTCCTGTCGACGGAATGCCCGTCTGGCGTTGTTGATATCCTTGATGGTGAAGTGCGAATTGGGTTCCTCCTCCTCTACCATCTTGCTAATCTCGCGTGCTTTGATGGCGCTATAGCTGGACATCTTCTTCACAAGGTTCTTGGCCGGGGACTTTATCTTCCGGTGTTGTGGGTGAGCCAGGGATCGAGGGACTTCGGGTGGTTGTGGACGTGGTAACGAGGATCCTTATGATGCCTGAACACCCATCCTTCATCTGTGAGCTTTGCCGATGCTTTGAACTTGCAGCCAGACTTGCGAGTGCTGGACTTGCGTAGCCGGACTCCCTCGGTAGGTCTGGGCAAACCGAAGCGGTCACAGACGATGGTGTAGTAAGTCGATTGGCCTGCTATACGGTTGGAGGCGTTCTGGCGATTTACTGCATACCCGTTGGCCTTGCCGTGGGCGTTGATTGCGTCCTGAAGCTGTTGAATAGTATCTGCTTTCACTATTGAGCCGTCATTGCAAAGGGCCTCTCCCTCTGGGTATATTGGGATGGCATCTTCGTCATCTGACAGGCCGTCCTCCGAGAAACCACCGCATTCCTCGAAATCTTGATCCGACATTTTGTGCGCGCAATTTGGAGGTGTTGCGCCTTGCGCCAACGAGAGCTAGTAAAATATTCGGGTTCTTCAGGTTCGAAATAGTCGGAATGGAAGTTCTTGCGAAGATCTGGCGAGAATTGGCGCGTGGCTGGGCGCGTAAGAAAGGCGCGTTGTTTGTCACGGGTTGTGGAAGGGGACTGCCAGGTCAGGGGTAGCTACTGCCCGGTTAGCTGAAAGGTTACTGCCCGGTTAGCCAAAAGTTACTACCCGTCTAGCATGGCCCTTCAAATTAGATGGATATTTATAAATTCATCTTCGGGGTTGGGCTCTGAGCGAGGGGTTAGACCTCTCTGTGAGCGTTAGACCTCGCTGCGAACGTTCTCGGCAAGACTTTACATTACCCGTTAGCGCTGCCCGAAATACAGGCGAGGCCAAGATGAGGTGGCGAGATTAAACCAGGAATGTTGCCTGCACTTCGGACGGATGTTGAGAACCCGATTCACAGAAAGGAAGTGGGGTGTTGGGGTTCCCTATCCTCTCCTATTCTACCTTAGCCGGAACCTCCGCTGTGCCCGTGCGGATCATGCCCTCGTCTTCCGTGTTCGCGACGAGGATGGCTGCCCGGGCCATGATAGCCATGAGGGGGGTTGGGCATCTGCCAGGGGTTGGGATGGATGATTGTGAGAGGTTTACCCAGGAAGATGACGTTCTTTCTCGGTTGCCGTGGTTCGTACGCGGGTCTTGCTACTATCGTTCAAATGCTCGCAGTGCATTGAGAGGGAGGCTCTGGCTGCACCACCGTGGCCTTTCCTATTAAAGGCCGAAAAGCCGACGATTCTCAAATCCAAATGGAAGAACCTCTTTAACTTTGTCTTGTAGCCCCAAAGCCCGCCATGTCTTGGAGTGACTGGGTGCCTAACTCGGTGCCGTTCCGTAAAGTTCCTTCAACCGGTGTCTTGGTCTCGTGGCGCTGCTAATGAATAGGTACCTAGGTGAATACTCGCGCGGCAACCCTGGGGGGGGCTCAAGTTCCATGAACTTCTCGGTTGCATGTGACGCCATTCTTCCTGTCCCGAGCCCCTTGACATTGAAATAATCGACACAAATAACAGGAGTGGTATTTTATTATTATTATTTCCTACACCGATATGCCCTGGGGCGCGCCGGTCCTTCTACTGCTATTTACAAAGAAACCGTACCGTATAGGCCGGATAAAAACCTCTGTCTACCACTTTGAGACCACAATCTATGAATCCGTCATACTGCAAAAGAAAGGAGGCCCTTTGCCGGCCTCCGGGCCCTCTAGCCCTCCCCATCCACTGTTTCTAGCTCTAGCCTTCTGGCCAGGCTATACTCCAGTAGCCGGCCAGAGTCCATCAGCCAGCCAAGGACCTTCCTAACAAATCTTCTGCTCTGGGCACCTGCTCCCCGTAATACGGTTTGTAGGTCCCGATGTGACCGAATCTCTCTGCCGTCCCACGGCCTTTGTAACGGCGGGTCGGGGCCAGGAGTGGTATTTTGTCTAAGGTACCTCTAACAAATTATAAATCCCACCATTCTTTTCCCTCCCAACACATCGCGATGCCCTCCTCTCCACCTATATCATCTACCCAGCCTCTAAACCGTACCTTTCCCCGCCCCCCAAATCCCCGACTCCTCCCCAAACCTCATAATCCGATCATGCAACTCGCCAGCGCGCACCGCCTCGTAGATTTCGCCGGCCATGGTCCCCAGCGTCCTCCCCCTGAGCGCCAGATCCGCTTCCGCCGTCGCCAGTTCCCCGTGTCCACCATCACCGTTAGTAACATGGCCATCGGCGCCGTCAACAGCCCTTCTCGCCTCCTCCACCTTGCGCAACAGCAGTGGCGGGTGGTCCTCCACACCACGATTAACCGGGATATTCAAGTCCTTCCTCACAAAGTCATACACCACCCTCGACGCATCACTGATATAATCCGTCGTCTGGATCTTCCCGGCCAACAAATCCGCCCGGACCTCGCTGTAACAGCCCTCCAACCCCTCCTTCATCCTCCGCTGGAAGTCACGCACGCCCTCCATCGAGCCCCCCGCCTCCACCAAGCACGTCAGCACCGTACCCAGCGACTCGTCCACCGCAGTACGACAGCGCTCCACCAAATCCAAATGCGACAGCCGATCCCAGCACGCCATCACCGCGCCGACCACAGTTGCAGACACCGCCTCGACCCCATCCCCCCCCCTCAGCCGCAGGCTTACCACCCCCAAAAAAGCACCCCCCCACCACCGCCCTCACCACCCCCCCAACCCTCTCCCCAAACACCACCCGCACGCACCTCAAATCCAGCGCCTGGCACAACACATATACATACGTCGCCGCCATCAACCCCACCACCTCCCCGGCCTCGAGCGCATACCTCGCAGCCACCAACGCCATGCTATTGACGCTCTGGTTCGCCATCTCAGCGACGTGGACGTGCGCGCTGACAGGGTTGGCCAGGTAGGCCAGCTCGGCGGCGTAGGCGGCCATGTTGACGTCGAACCCTTTGCAGGTGAAGCTGGCGCTGGGGTTGTCGAGGGACAGGTTGGGGGGCAGGCCCTTGTTGGTGGTGTTGTTGATGACCTCGGCGGATTGGGCGTAGAGGAGGCGGCCGATGTTTTGGAGCGCGAGGAGGGTCTTTTCCATGGCGGAGGTGAGGGACATGGCTTGAAAGTTGCCGCCGTGGTGCATGCGGTTGGTGGTGCTGTTGTTGTTTATTTGGATGAGGGGGTTGTCGGTGGTGGAGTTGAGTTCGGTGGTGACCTGGCGGCGGTCGCGAGGAGGAGGTCTTCGAGCTGGGGACCGAGCCATTGTGGGGCGGTGCGCAGGGAGTAGCGGTCCTGGGCGAGGCCGACGCGGGCGACGGAGTGCGGGGCGGTGGGCGGTGGGCAGATCTTGGAGCCGGAGAGGAAGTGGAGGATGTTGGTGGCTACTTCGGCTTGGCCGGGGTGGGGGCGGATGGCGGAGATGAAGGGGTGGTAGTTGTTGGCGTTGCCGTTGAGGGCTTCGGTGCCCATGGCGGTGAGGAGTTGGACCAGGAGGGCGAGTTGGTTGGCTTGGTCGATGGCGAGACATGCTGCTGCACAGCTGGGTGCAGTGCCGTTGGTGATTCCGAGGCCTTCTTTCGCTTGGAGGCGCACGGGGGCTAGTTTGGCAACTTTCAGAGTCTCGTCGGCCGGGGCAATGGCTGTCTTGCCCTGGGGGCCGATCACCTTGACGAAGATGTCCGGGTTGCCCTCAATCGCACCAGCGATGTACGAGAGGGTGGATAGATCTCCCGACGCCGAAATGCTGCCTCGTAGGGGCACAATGGGGGTCACATTGAGAGACAACAGCTTCATGATGGTCTCAATAACGCTGACTCGCACACCGGAATGACCCCGCATCAACGAATTGCAGCGGATCAGCATGGCGGCCTTGACGATGGGGGTCGGGAGGGCGTGGCTTCGCAGCATGCCATTGTCCCGAAGGCCCGAATTCGAGTCTGGGTCAGTGACCGCCTTGTCCGCTTTCAGCAAGATTCCAACGTTGAGATGCTGGATGGCCGAGCTCTGGAGGCGCTCAAAGTCTTGTGTTCTGGTGTCTGCGCTGCCGCCAAAGCCAGTGTTGACCCCATAGATGACGTTGCCGGCCGCTAGCTCCCCCTCTAAAAACGCAACACTTTCCTCAACGAGCTCAAGATCGGACGGATCGTCCGTGAGCTTAGCGGCCCCATTGTGTCTGGAAACACTGTCAGCCTTCCTGTTGATTGTAAAATGAGGGGAAAAGAAAGAGGGATTGTGCAAATTACTCACGTTGAGACGGCCAGGACATCAGCGATGGTCAACTCTCGGCCATTGACTAACACGTGCTCTCCGGAATTACGCCTATTTTGCAACGCAGCCCACTCCAGATAAGCCGCAGATGCGTGCGGAACACCATGTTCTTTTCCATCCATTGTCGATATGATTGAGGCGTGAAGACGTGAGGTGGGCTGCATGAATCCTGAGTGCTTCCCCAACGTTGCGATGTGTTTGAGAGTTTCTACTCTTCAGGAAGAAACGGCGCCCAGCGAGCGGCCTTATCAAGTAATTAACCCACCACCTTCCCCACGTGGCACCTCTCTAGCGTGCATGTCGGCCCGCCCGGCTTTACATCTCACACGCGTTTCGAGACGTGTTAAGAGCGGAAGATTTCCGATTTCTAGATTTACACACAGCTGCATAGGCCCCCATTAGCCGTTCCAGTCCGAGTTCTCTACCCGAGACAAACCAGCGCTGTTCCGCCAAAGCCGAGCCCAAAAGGCCACCAAGTCCACACGCGCATTGTCAGAGCAACGGAAAGCTCAGTCACCGCTTCAGTCAGAATTCCGATGCCGATCTAAAAACGAGTTGGTTGGCCAAATCGTATGATCTCGCGTATCCACCTGTTGGTTCGTATCCGTAAGTGGGAGTCCGAGTCTCAGGTCAGCTAATCAGGTTCTTGTTGGCCTGGGATTATCGTGACCGCTCTGCACCACATTCAATAGGCGGGGGGGATTGGGGCCGAAAAAGCAACTGCCAGTATTGGATTCAAACTTGCATTTAAAAAGCAAAACATGGCCAGGCAGTCACGCAATGACCTGTCATTAATTGTATCCCCCCGAAGAGTTAATTACGGATTCTATTCGGATCTGGCGCCGGTTGCCGATGCCCGGAGGTCCGGTCCCGGGTGGAGTGGGGCCGGAACTCCGGGCTTGAGCCGGCACGGTGCCCCCAATGGGCAGAGGCAAACTCTGAGTTTAGATGGCAACGGCGAGGCGCTGTTTCAACACTGTTGAGTCTTGCGCCGGTTTGAAGGTCAAATTTTGAGTCCTGTGGACGAGTAATCGGAGCTTCGAGTCGGGGTTGAGCCCGGCGGATCGGGTATCGATTCCCGCGGTTGGGGTTGCTCATTGGGGTGCTAGATGGGGGTTCTCGATTGCGGGGAATGCTCGATGGGAGTTGATATCACGGAAGGAATATGTTGGATGAAGCAGTTTCCTACGAGATCGTAGCTAAAAAATCATGACCAAATGCAGTGCATGACGCAGGTGCTTGTTGTGGGCCTTCGTACACAGTTTTAGCGGTAGGGAAGTTTGTAAGATGTATAATTTTCTATCTGGGCTGCGCATGCAAAGAAGGCAGACATATATCATGCTGTGATTTATACAGGAATCTTGGAGCTGCTGCTGTCAGTGTCATCAAACGAATTAGCCGGATTGATCCACACATCACCGCCTGCAGCACGTTTGCCCGAGTAAGAGACGGAAGTAACAGATCGATGGGATGGCAACGGACCTGCATTAAAAAGAATTAGCCACAGCTTGTTAGTGGCGTTCTTGCCAAACTCGGGGAGCAGAGGCACATACGTAACCCCGGCGGTCGTTCTCGGCCCGGAGATTCCCTCTGTGCCGACTGCCCGGCTGGAAGCGGCGGACTTGAGCGCAAGTTAGAAGAATTACAAGTTGTGATACCTGAAACACGCAGCGGAAATCGCAGCCGATGAATCAGGTGTCAGCCTCGTTTTTTCTCCCGCCAAACCAGACCTGCGAAGCAATCGACAGGATAATTAGGACTTTGGGCAACACGTGTACAAATTCTCCCTGAATTGTCTGGCCATTGTGCATCCTAAATCATCCCGTGCCAGCACTGCCGGCCGTTTCGCCAAAATGTCCGCATCCATACCTGCTACCTTGCACCGTGACCACCATATCATGTCCGTAACGCCCAGCCCGGCCTTCCTCCAACCTCGTCCGACGGACGGGCTCAAGGCGGAAGGAGCCCCAAAAGCATGCAAATTCGAGCCGCGTGGTTTCCTTCCCGGGATATAAGATCAAGCAAGAGCCATGGCCCATCATCAGCTGCGAGCGGACGTTCTTCCCATCGCACAGATCCTGCATTCCTGCTTTTAATGCCCTCGATCCTGCCCCAGCGCAGTCCACCGAATGAGACTCTCTGATATCTTCCGCCGCCTCTTCTCTCATTTCTTTTCAACACACTCCACCACAAAAACCAAAGAAGCTCAACAACATTACACGTCTCAATCGCCCCCTTCTTCAGGAACAACAATTCCCAAACTCCCAACCACTACCACAGTTACCGGTACTCTAGCAACCATGCCTGGCGCTACATCTGACTACGGCAGCAGCAGCAAGTATGACCAGATCCCGGGTCCCCTCGGGCTGGCATCGGCTTCGCTACAAGGCAAGGTGGCTCTCGTGACGGGCGCCGGTAAGTCCGAATCTTCTTGTTTCACTGGTGTTCTAGGCCCGACCATCCAGTTGCTTGGTGGCCCTGCATTTGGAGGTGCTACAAAGCGATATTTCCTTGTGCCGGACCAGTGGGTGGTTTACCCCAACTGATGTCCGGCCAACCCCCCACACCCCCACGCACCACTTACATCCACGGATATCGCCTGTGGCTTTAGCCATTCACTGGCAAAGCAAAGCACCGTTGTCACGACTTTCCTTGCCAGTGGCAGTTCCATGGCGGATCCCACCCTTCCCCATACACCGAACATGAAAAACAGCAAGCTAACCTCCCCCCCTCCGGGGATGCCACGTACCTAGGCCGCGGGATCGGTCGGGAGATGGCTCTCGAGCTCGGACGCCGCGGCGCCAAGGTGATTGTCAACTACGCCAACAGCGACGCGGCCGCCCAGGAGGTGGTCAACCAGATCAAGAAGAACGGGTCGGACGCGGCCAGCATCAAGGCCAACATGGCGATCATCGACGACATTGTGCGGCTGTTTGAGGAGGCCCACAAGACGTTTGGCCGCCTCGACATTGTGTGCTCCAACAGCGGCGTTGTGTCGTTTGGACATGTCAAGGATGTTACGCCTGAAGAGTTTGATCGGGTGTTTAACATCAACACGCGCGGCCAGTTCTTTGTCGCCCGCGAGGCGTACAAGCATCTGGAGGTTGGTGGTCGCTTAATCATGATGGGCTCCATCACGGGCCAGGCCAAGGCTGTCCCCAGGCATGCTGTCTACTCGGGGAGCAAGGGCGCGATTGAGACGTTTGTGCGGTGCATGGCTGTTGGTAGGTGGTGCGGGTGGGTGGCTGGCTGTTGGGGTTTTGTTGGCTGACTGATGCGATGCAGACTTCGGTGACAAGAAGATCACCGTCAATGCTGTTGCGCCCGGCGGCATCAAGACGGACATGTACCATGCCGTGTGCCGCGAGTACATCCCCAACGGCGACCAGCTAGATGACGAGGGTGTTGATGAGGTATGATGGTTCCATCTTCTACGGCGTGCTTATTTGTGCTAATTAGTCCAGTACGCTGCCGGCTGGTCTCCGTTTCACCGCGTTGGTCTCCCCATTGACATCGCTCGTGTCGTGTGCTTCCTGGCGTCCCAGGACGGCGAGTGGGTGAATGGCAAGGTCATTGGCATCGACGGCGCTGCTTGCATGTGAACGAGTAGGGATGCGGTTTCACTTCACAAGGATGTTTTATGAACCTTTTTGAGACTCCTGCAGTATTGATTTTGGGGACGAGTGATCACTGATAGAGGGACTGCGAAGTTTGGAGGTACGATGGGAATGGTTAGGACGCCGGCTTTCTATACGAGGGAGAAATACAAGTTTGGCCCAGAAAACGTGATGGTGGCCTCCGTGTTGACCGCCTGGAATTTGTGATGTGGATTGCGCTTCTGCGAAATATGGGACGACCGAGTCCCCAAGGTGGCATCAATACCAGTCTGCTGGGACTGTGGAAAACCTTGCCTATAATACTGCAGCCGGCTCGCGTCAACACACACAGCACAATCCAGGTTCCTGTGTGTTTGTGGCTATGTAAATTATGGGCAGACTTTGATCTCGGTGCTTCCTCCGGTGGCTTAAATATTGGGTGTCTAAATGCTGCTTTGTTTATAAAATAAACTGTTTAATGGAAAGTGCTCCAGCCCGTGCTTGTCACTCCGCCAACCGTTGAAGAAGATGGCGTGCTTCCACGTCGGGTCTCATTCTTTCTAACCGCGTTTCGGGATCTGCGATATCACATACGACATTCTAAGACAAGACTTCAACATTGGAGTTGATCACGGCTCTAGACAAGAGAGTTTAACCTGCTTGAGCACTGTAGTAAGCGGTGGGTTGATTGAGGGGAGTAAAGCCGCTGAGAGGAGAATTGACCCTTTCTCAACCCATTCCCGACCATGAATCCCTCGGAATAGTACCAACGCTTATCGAGAATTAAGGATTCAGCATCTATCACCATGTCTCATGACACCACTACTCTGGGCTAGCCACTCATTAACCCCGACATTAAACCCCCACAACGCACACCCACATCGCACCCCTGCAGGCACATTGAGACATGATCGGACATCCTCATCACAAAACCCCATCATCACCCCCTCCTCTACTCTCCTCTACCCTACCTTACAAAAACGCCACCGCAAACCCCAACACCACCACCACCCCGCTCACCGCCTGGCCCACCCGCGCCGCCCCCGCCGTCACAGGCACATGGCCAGTCGTCATGGGCGGCTTGGGCACCGACCCGGTGGGGTGGGCGCCGCCGTGCGTGTACGACGGCGGCGTGGCGACGCTGCTGCTGCTGGCCGAGGGCGTCTCGTTGTCGGAGTCACCGCCGTTGTTGTCGTTGTCGACGGGGCTGCAGGCCTGGCCGTTGCCGGGGCAGACGACCACGGGCGTGTTGACGGGGGCGACGGTGGTGGTGGTGCTGTCGCCGCCGTTGATGATGGTGGCGGGGGTGTTGGTGGGGGTGGGGAGGGGCGGGTTCTCGACCACGGGGCAGATGGTGGTGGAGACGGCGATGGTTTCGGTGACGACCGTGCCGGATTGGCAGGGGTGGGAGGGCGGGCAGGAGGTGATGGTTCGGGTGGTGGTTGTGTAGACGGTTGAGGTCGTGTAGGCGGTGGTGGAGGCGGTTGTGAAGGTGCCGTTGGAGAAGGAGAGCGTGCTGCTGGCGGAGAGCGTCGGCGCTACGGTGGTGGTGGTGGAGATGGTGGACGCGGCCGCGGAGGTGGAGCTCGCGTCTTCGGAGGCGGTGGTTGACGTGGCCTCCTCGGATGCCGTCTCGCTGGCGCTGGCGCTGGCGGACTCGGTGGTGGTGGATTCGGCGGCGTCCTCGGTGGTGGTTGAGCTCTCGGCCTCTGGAGATGAGGTGGGGGTTGAGGTCGTCTCGGTGGTCTCGGCCTCCTCCGAGCTGGTGGGCTCGGGGCTGGGCTCAGGAGTGGGCTCAGGCGTGGGAGTGGGTGTCTCCTCCGGATTAGGGTCGACGAGCGTGGGACCCGGGATCTCGCCGTAATCCGGGGGAGTTTCCTCGTTGGCACCGCCGGTGGGAGTCGGGGACGGCTCCTCAACGACGGCCGAGGTCGAGGTCGAGGTGGTGAGAGAGAAGGTGGTCGAGCTCACGCCGCCGTTGCCGGTGCAAGTGTAGCCCTCCGGGCAGCAGCCATCCTCGCCATCGTCCCCAACAACGCACCTTTGATCAGGTGGGCAACCGCCGGTTTGCGCAGGGCAGCAAGTGTAGTCCAGAGGGATACAACCACCGCAGTCCTGCATGCCCAAGTCCTCGCAGCTCTCCTCATCATATCCACCACCGCCATCGGTCCGACGGAGCACGAACGGGGACGAGATCCTGCCGGCAAGGGCAAGGGAGGGCAGAAGGCCCAGGAGGATAAACTTTTGCATTTTTGAAAGAGTGTGATTATTTTTAAATTCAAAAAGAACGTAGTGGTCCCGAGGGACAGTAAAGAGTGACTGTGTCTTGAAGACGGTGAGTGTTGTGAGATGCCCGGTGGAACGGTGGAAGAGGAAAAAGAGTGAAATCCTCAGAGGATCAGCCCTCCCAGGCCATCTTGTACTTGAACGGGCCTTCTGGGGTCATCGATCCGCCGAGGAGTTGAAGTGGTGCCTGGATCCAGGGCAGAATGCAACCTTGTTCTGCAAGAATGCCGGCAACCGTGCGGCACGGCGATTGAGTTCAGGGGTTGAGCACTTTTGGGGGTTCTTTGCGCAGTCAACGATCCAATGACAAGGCCTGGCAATCAGAGAGATCTGCAAGAGACACCCAACTTACGCCCGCTTGGGCTTTTCACTGTGACGGCGCCGCATTTTGACATGGACGCGGGAATATTTTGGTAAGCTCGGAAATGAAGGTAGGCTCGGCCTTGTGCACTGCCTGGGATAAGTATTATTTGTGGCTTGAAATTGACGAATTTGGCGATAGTTGATGTTGGATGGCGTTTTGTTTACTGTGTACGGAGACACGGGAGAGTCCTCTCAACAACACACCAGCCAACGAGAACTTTGGAAGCGTTCGAAAAATTGGAGATCAGACCAAAATGCGCCGGCGAAGGCGAAATTGCAGAAGCAGGGGTGAACATGTCAAAGTTACACAGTCATCTGACCCTAACCCTGCAATTGGGTAAATGTTTGCGCCGATTAGCCAGAAACCCCAACTCAGAACCCCGCACCGGAGTCCTCGGTCCAATGATTCGCGATCCGTTCGATTTCGCGGTTCATCCCAAATCCCTTAGGTTTTGGCCGTTCGGATGCACAGCGTCAGCGTCATTTGTTAAAACAATCGCCAACCATGGCTACACCCGAAGTAGAGAAAAATGCAATCAAGGTGATGATAGTGGGCGACTCGATTTCGCATGGAAGAGAAGGCGATTGGACCTGGCGATACCGAATCTGGGAGTGGTTCAGCCAAGAAGACATCGACGTTCGCTTTGTGGGACCCTACAAAGGCACCATTCCTCCCGATGAGCCCCATCCACCATACCCGCCCAGGTTGCAAGACGAACCTCCCCAGCTGCCAGCACCCCTTCGCACCGATGGAGGTTACGCTGCCGGAGTCCATCCGGACTTCCTCTCCAACTGCCATCACTTCGCCGCCAGTGGACAACAGGCGTATGTGGCCAAGGACCTCGTCGCCGAGCAGGTGGCCGCCTACCAACCAGATCTTTGCTTGGTCCAGCTAGGGTTCAATGATCTCGGCTGGCGGATGTGCGGGCCCGCCGTGACCCTCGCCAGCATAGGGCAGCTTCTGGAAGAGGCAAGGTCTGCGAAGCCAGATCTGAAGTTTGCTGTTGCGAATGTACCACAGAGGACTGACATCCCGGGCCGTGAAGACTTGCCGAGAGACACGGACCTGTACAACGATATGCTTGCGCAGGCGATTCATTCTTGGGACACGGTCAAATCACCCGTCGCGCTTGTCTGCTTCTGCGAAAACTACTCGTGTAAGTCGAACTGTTGTAAACCTTGGCCCCTGACCACACATCTGACATGGGCAGGCGGCGGCTCCAACTCGGACGCTGCCTATGATGGCCTTCACCCCAACGCCCTCGGCGAATACCAGCTTGCCCAGGCCTTCTCGCGCACCCTGGTGTCAGACTTCTCCATCGGCCGCAGCCCGCTTGTGATTCCTGAACCTGTACCGCCTCGCCCCCTCCCCACCCCGGCTCGGTTCGGTGCCGCCTCAACCCCGGGTGGCATCGTGGTTAGTTGGGAGCATGTTTACGGCGCCCTGGGGTATGACTTTCAACATAGACTTGTCGATGATGACGAGTGGGCGACCACCCACTTGGACTGCAACAGATACTACTGGCCGCCGTTGTGGGACGGCCAAGTGGTGGAATGCCGGGTCCGCACCAGCGGTGGGGACAACTTCAAGTCTCCTTGGAGCAACGTTTCCGCAGCTGTTGCCAGACCGGAGACGCCACCGCCGCCTAGCAATATGGTCACACGCGCAACTGCGACTGGCTTCACGATCACCTGGGATCCCCCTCCGCCATCCTCGTATACCGGTGAGATCGATCGCTACGGCCTCATCTACTTCGACTGCGATCAGCCTGGTGCTTTCCCCGGTATTGCGGGCGTGAGGGGAAAGAGGGCCGAGTTGAAGGACCTCACTCACGGCCACCGTTATGCTATAGCCATGGAGTCTTGGTCTACAGTGGGCCCAGGGCCTCCCGGCGGCGCACCCTCCGTGGTTGTGGGTGAAGGGATCCCTTCCACCCCCAAAGATGTCCGCATCGAAACGTTTGACTGTCATTCCTTCGAGCTTAGTTGGCTCCCGGTTGTTGGTGCCACCGGTTATGGTATCTGTGTTCGAAGCCGTAACGAAACGCCGCCCACATTCTATTCATCGGTGAACACTACCGTACAGGATGCCGCTCACTCCGAACCTCGGCGCGAGAAGGTGGAGATTTGGGTTCCGGTCCCGGCCTGGCAAAGCGAATTCGCCGTTAGAGCTTTCAACCACAATGGCTCGTCTCCTTACTCTCAATGGGTAACGCCGCCGCGTTCCGATTGTGAAGAAGTCACAGTGTCAGAGGACGCGACCATGCACATTCACCTTCGTCAAGGGTGAGTCTTCTCCGCGGATATCATTGTACCTGCCTACGAGCTCCGCTTCCTATACACGTCGCCGGTCCGCTCAATCTCGAACGCCGCATCCTTGCCTCTTCCCTGAGCCTCGAGCTGGCGGACCAACGGCAGTACCTCCCTACCGAACTGCTCGACCTCCTCCTCATAGTGCAAGAACGCCGTGAGCACCTGGTTGACGCCGAGGCTCTTGAGTAGTACGATCCGCTCAGCAACCTGCTCCTTGGTCCCAATCAACTTGGTCTTGAAGCCATCATTATACTGCACCAGGTCGTTGAACGTGCTGGTGGCCCACATGCCCGTCTTGTTCGCCGTGCTCGCCCCGGCATTCTTCACCTCCCCGGCAAACGCCTCCACCGCCTGGGCATCTGCCTTCCCCTGAATCTCCTGCAGCACCCTGACCGCCTCCTCCTCGGTCTCCCGCACAATCACAAACCCATTGACCGCAAACCTCACCAACCTCTCCCTCCCCGCCGCCCTCGCCCGACTCTTCACATCCTCAATCTGCGTCCGAAACCCCTCCAAATCATTCCCATTCATAAAATACCAATCCGCCACCTGCGCCCCATTCTCCCTCGCATCATCACTATTCCCCCCCTGAAAAATCTCCGGATGCGGCCTCTGCACTGGCTTCGGACTCAACTTATACCCGCGGAACCGATAAAAGTCGCCCCCGAACGTGAACCCCTCCTCCGCGGGCGCCGTCCAGATCCCACGCAGACAGCGCATGAACTCGGCCGACCGCCGGTACCGCTCCGCGTGGTCCAGCCACCACTCCCCGATCGCCGTGAACTCGCCCTTGAACCAGCCCGACACGATGTTCACGGCGATGCGGCCCCCGCTGTAGTGGTCGATGCTGGCGATCTGTTTGGCCACCACCGCGGGCGCCCACGGGCCGGGCAGAATCGCCGCGATGACGCGGAGGGTCGACGTGCCTTGGAGCAGGGCCTGGGAGAAGGAGACGGATTCGTGTTGGTCTGGGTGGGGGGTGTTAGGTGCAGCCTATGGGATTCCACATCTAACTATCGTGCTCCGTCCCCAAGGGTTGAACGCGACCCAGGCCGGAACCATGCCGGGAGCGAGGATCGGAGCGGAAGATGGAAGATGGAGGTCGCGGCCACGACTTACCAGACGCGCCGTAGGACGCGGTGAAGCGGATCTGGGTGAGCGCGTACTCGAAGCCGGCCGCCTCGGCCGCGCGCGCGTACCGCAGGTTGGACTGCAGGTCCCATGAGGTGCGCTGCGGGATCTTGGAGATGACGAGCCCGCCCGATACGTTGGGCACCCAGTAGCTGCAGTGGAGGGGTGGTTAGCTATGGTACGGCATAGGATGGGATGGGATGGGTGGCTCGAGTAGGTGGGGGGTTGGATTGCGTGAGGCTAGAGTGGTACGTACGCAAATAGGAGCCTGTCCGGGTCGTTGTTGTGCGGATGGGGGTTGGTGGTTGCCATAGTGTTGATGACCTGTACTGGCTTGTTTGTTCTCGGGGAGGGAGGACTTTCGTCGTTGTGCTAGTCTCTGGGTTTGATGATTGAGGCATGTGTGTATAAAGCAGGCTTAATGTTCCCTTCCTTAGACACCTTTGCCGTAGTTGTTTTGCGTTGACGTCGAACGGCGTATCCCGCCATCGTTGAGCTCGATGATGCCATCCACCCTCCTCCGGCCGATCGGTGCCCTTGGCGTGGGGGATGCGGGCCGGGGATCACGCAATCCCGGAGCTATCCCAAACCAGATTGAGATTTGACAGATCCGGAGCCTACTCTTGAAAGTTCACGGTAGCTATTACAGTTGAGACCCGTTTGATCGCCCGGTTGTTGGTGGAGCTGCAGGATGGCGTCTTCACCATGACCCCTCCCGGCAGCTTCACCCTCCTCCCAGAGCTGAGATAGTTACGCAATCATGAAGCAGCTAGATTCGGCCATCGGCATTGCGGCTTGCGTGATGGTGCAGCTCCCTTCTTCTACCCAATTGCGATGGTGCTCGAGCACACGAAGGTAGTTTGTCGGCCCCCAAGGCGAAGAGGCGCTGTATGCTGGCGGCGGGGTAGCACGAGGAAACATCACACGCTTGACCTACTCAGCTAGTCTCCAGAAGGGGGGCCGTATGAGAGCTCTGCTTCATACAGCAATGGTGGTCGGCGAGTTTGGTGATGAAATCGCGGTGGCTTTGTGCGCAATGCCCATCATCTAAGCCAAGCGCTTCGAGGATGAGGGAAGGAGAAAGCATATGAAGGCACCGGAGCGCGCTCGGGAGCATTGTGTAGCAGTCGTAACATCCCTCGGACATACATGCACCCCAAACTACATCCCCAAAGTCTGTTCTGAGTACAAGGGGCCTGTAGCAGAAATCCAACTGCCCATCATGGCGACCAGCGCGCTGCCTGTGATCAGCAAAGCCCCTTCAAGTTCCGATCCCGCGGTCTACCAAGAGTACGAGTCGAAATGGTCCACGTATCCTACAGACACTGAAGGTTGGTTACAACGGGCGCGAGACGTCGCCGCCGTTCTGGTCGTGGACGCCGCCGCCCGCGAGAAGGCGAACAAGTCTCCCAGGGCAGAGGTGGCGTTACTCAAACACTCGGGCCTGCTGAAGCTTCTCGGCCCGAAAAAGTATGGTGGCGGCGAGCAGCCGTGGAGCGTAGGCTACAAGGCAATCCGCGAGGTTGCGAAGGGTGACGGGTATGTCCTGAAGCCTTTACTTCAATAATCCATAGCAGCGACTTCGGACACTGACGTTTGCCAGTTCCATCGGCATGCTGCTGGGCTACCACCTTCTGTGGTCCCGCACCGCCAACGTCGTCGGCAGCGACGAGCAGGCCGACCGTCTCCAGAAATTCATCATCGAGAACAACTACTACGTCGGCGGCGCCGTCAACCCGCGCGATAGCGACCTCAAGATCACGTACGACGATGAGAAGATCACATACAGCGGCTTCAAAAACTTCACGACAGGTGCTGCGGTTTCGGACCTGATCGTGCTCGAGGGTGCCGTCGATGGTCGCCCACCCGAGGAGCACATCTTTGCCATCGTGCCGACGGCCCAAGCAGGCATCGTCTTCAGCTATAACTGGGACAACATCGGGTTGCGGTTGACCGAGTCGGGGGCTGCCAAGGTCGAGAATGTGTCCGCACCGTGGGCAGATGCCCTAGGGTGGGATGCGAAGACCAAGAAGCCCGACCCGGCAGTGCTTGGGATTCCGTTTCCCTCGCTGCTGCTTCCCAGGTACGCGTCCTTTCGAGGCTGGTCCCTGTGAGTGCCTTGCTGACATCCCAATAGCATCCAGCTGGTCTTCAGCAACTTCTACCTTGGCATCGCCCTCGGTGCTCTCGACTTTGCCAAGCAGTACACCGTTGCCCACACCAGAGCATGGCCCTACGGCGGCGATGTAAGCCAAACCCATCCCACCCCTTCCCATCGCCTGGGCGCGCACTTACTGACCGCCCACAGACCAAAGAATCCGCCACGGAGGAATTCCACATCCTCTCCACCTACGGCAACTTCCACGCGCACCTCCGCGCCGCGGAAGCGCTCGCCGACCGGGCAGGCGCGGAAGCAGACCGCCTGTACGGCACGTACGCGGCCAACCGGGCCGGGCTCACGCCGCAGGAGCGGGGCGACTGGGCCGAGTGGGTGGCCAGCGTGAAGGTGGTGGCCACCGACACGGGCCTGCGGGTGACGTCGGGCGTGTTCGAGGTGACGGGGGCGCGCGCGACGGCGAGCAAGGTCGGCCTGGACCGCTTCTGGCGCGATCTCCGCACGCATACGCTGCATGACCCCGTGGCGTACAAGAATCGGGAGTTGGGTAGGTATTTCTTGCTGGGGCAATCGCCGGAGCCGACGTGGTATACCTAAAGGGGGGGTGGAGTGTTGGGTTATCGCTGGCGGAGGCTTGCATGTATGTACCTAGTTTCTGGAATGAGGGACATGGTCCTCTTGCTCTCTCCACTAGTCAAACCACCAAAAGTTGTTAAAATACACTGTGTCTCATGAGATGTTGACAGAAATAGGTGGTTTGCTTATACACGTGCCGCGACGGGGGTAAAACGTGGCCAGCACGGGTTGCGGCGGGATGGATCGACGATCTTGGCAAGCTCCCGCTCAACTCCATGAAACCGTTCCTTTCTTTGTTTCAGCAATCTGCAGCAGCGCGAAACTTGATGTCGGTCGAGTCCCAACAACCGCGTGCGGGGTCGACACTTGGCAATTCCCGCAAATCTAAACATATGCCGTGGGGGCAATATTTGACCAGTGGTTGTTTAAGAGTGAAATGGGTCCTGATGTCATAATTTGAGTGATTTCAGATATCGTTTGCGCTGCTGCTCTGAGAGGACCAGCCTGGAAGGGCATTGCAGCCCAATTTCAGGGGTCCTTGGGATGGAAGAAAGGAGAGACCACAATCGGAGACCGACGGCGACTTGGAAGGCAGGAGGGCGTGGGCAAAGTTGGTCCGAGCGTCTCGAAGCAAGAAACCCAGTCTGGGTTTTGAGAAGGACGAATGGGGGGCCACATTTAGTGGGTCTCACGTAATAAACAGGCACCCTGGCCGCCTAGGCGCCTGCCCGGAGAGCGGCTGGGAGGGGACCTGTGAGGGCTGGACTGGACGAACAACCCGCAATCAACATCATTTCCTCGCTGCTCGAGGCTTCGCATCATTTCGAGACACAACAACGAACCGACCTCACGCTATCCCTGGCTGCCTCGGCCACGGCTCCATGACAGTAGACGTCTCTTCTTTTCCTCTTCGGCCCCGCGCGGCCGTGTTGTAATTGTAGCGTTATTTGCATTCGGCCGAGGTTTCTGTTGTACGTTGCCCTTCCATCTCCGATCCATCTCTGCTCCGACCGGGCAGCCCGCCGAGCACCGTACGCCCCGTGCTATTGCCCAGTACCTTCGCCGGCGAGTCTCTAGACTCCCGCTGAACTACTAGCGTTGTTGCCCTGGTTTTCATCCGGAGTTGCTCTGCTTGTTGCTTGCGCTTCGGCCCGGCCGCTCTCTGCGTCACCCCCACTTTCTAGTCGAGACCAGCTCCCCACCAACTCCCTAGCTAATCATTTCAACCCCGCCAGATACCTTACTTAGACATTGAGATACCCATCCGTTGCTACGGACCAATTTCAGCATTTGCGGCGTCTTTGAAACAAAACTCATGCGCCTTACGTTCGACTAGGCCAAGCGCTCTATTTATTACCACCGCCCCTGACCGCCCGCGGGAGTCGCCGCCCGACCGCTTCTGCCACGAACACCAGCCCACTTGTGCGATTGCCGAAAACTTGCGAAAAAGTCTCGGATTCCCGACACCACGGCTTACGGTCAACATCCCACCACCAGCGCCGTGGTAGAAACCCCATCGGCTGCCGCCCATCATGTTTTGGAGGTTTGGCGGTTACGCCAATGTCTCCACCATCGACACCATCCTCGAGAGAGACAACTTCCAGCTCGAGGAGCTCCTCGACGAAAGCGACCTGGTGCAAGAACTGAAGCAACACAATGCAAGGCTCGTCGAGTATCTTCGGGATCCGCAGGTACTTGAGAAACTACTCAACTATGTCGTTGCGCCTAAGCTTGAACCAGTCGCCTCTGCCGACGACGACGAGGAAGATGACGACGAGAAAGGAAAGTCTGTTTTGCGGGCATCGACTGCATCTCAGACCTCCTCAAGAGCGGACGACAAGAGTCAGGAGGACAACGAGAAGAAGCGTAACCGATACGCTTTTGTTTCAACCGAGATTTTGTCATCAGAGACTTGGTCAATGTACGACGCGCTCATGGAAAGCAAGGAGCTTCTCCGGAATTTTTGGCAGTTCTTAAAGCGCCAAACCCCTCTCGACCCTCTTCAAGCGAGCTATTTCACCAAGGTCAACGAATCGCTCTTTGACAAAAAGACGGAGGAAATGCTGGAGCTGCTGAAGTCTATGGACGGCGCCGTGTCGGACATTTTGAGACATGTAGACTGTCCTATGATCATGGATCTCTTGCTCAAAATCATAAGCCTGGAACGTACCGAGAGCGGGCAGGGTATTGTTGAGGTTGGCCACACCCCTTGTTTTGTGTTAATATGGCGAAACTAATATTTCCTGTTCTAGTGGCTTTACACACAAAATGTTATGACGTCCCTCATCTCCTTTCTTGGATCGGACCACAGCTGGGCCACCCAGACATCCGCGGCCGACTTTATCAAAGCAATCATTACTGTTTCTGCCAACGCGTCGCAAAACGAACAAACATGTATCGGGCCAAACGAACTTACACGGCAACTGGTATCGGAACCCTGTGTCGAGCAGCTAATTCAGTACATGCTTGGCGGCGGCAACGCCCTGACGTGTGGCGTTGGCATCATCATCGAAGTTATCCGGAAGAACAACTCCGATTACGATCCGGAAGGGGTGGACATCAATGCAGCCCCTTCGAGCCGAGACCCCATTTATCTGGGGACGCTCCTGCGCCTCTTTGCTCAGCACGTTCCCGACTTCATGAACCTCATCCTTAATGTGCCGGTCCAGAGGCAGCGCCTCTCCTCCACCTTCAAGGACAAGATTGAGCCCCTGGGCTTTGACCGCTTCAAAACGTGCGAGCTTATGGCGGAGCTCCTGCACTGTAGTAATATGATGCTGCTGAACGAAAACGGCGCAGAGGATTTGATCGCCGCCCGCGACGAGCAGCGGCAGCGACTTCGGGCAGAAGGCCATCTGCTGCCCGCAAGCGGCCCTGAGCCTACTTCAGCTGAGGATCTCTCAATGCGGGCGTCGCAAGTGTCGGCTCCAGACCTGGGCCGTAAACTCGAGGTTATGAACGTTTCCGCAGATGATGACGGCTTTGAAGAAGTGTCACATACCGCAGACGAGGAAAACACCCATGGCGTTCTAGAGCTTCCAGATGCGCCCACCCACCCCCCTGGGTCCTCTTCCCTCGACAAGGACGAGGATGATTTTGTCGACGAACCTCTCAGTTCGCCCCCGACGGCCGCAGCTGAGCTGGTGAGCAGCGCTGCTACAGAACCACCAGCATTCGAAGATGCCGACTTGGTCGTTGCTCCTCTCTCGCCTACCAAGAAGACCGTACCGACGGCAGAGGGCGCTGAAGCCACAAAGGAAACACCGAGCGGGACAGCTGCCCCAGACACCGGGGCCCCCCCACCGAAGCCAGAAGAGGCATCAGTAGATACGAAGACCGGCGATACAAGCGAATCTGAGCAAGCAGCTATCCCAGCTGATACTTCAACTTCAGCTGTGTCGCCTGCGGAAAAGCCAAAGCCGGAAATCTCAACAGCGGAAGTCGAGGCCAAGGCTCCAACACTCATGTCCCCCCATCCGGAGGACACCCCTGCCCCGTTGTTCTCGAGGGAGAGCGCCACAGAGCCGTCAAAGAAGCCGTCGCCGCCCGCAGAAGAAGCAGGCGACTCGCCAATGACCGATGCTCCAACGTTGACAGCCGCTCCGCCCCAAGAAACTGCAGAGGCAGAGACCCCGACCCAACCGCCAGCGCAAAGCCCCGGCGATGCGTCCATCGTTACCTCTGAGGCACCGAAACCAACTGCCGACGCCCCGGCCCAGTCCAAGCCCGTGGTCGGAGACTATCTCAAGATGCAATTCGTCGAGCATCGTGTTGTCCCGACCATCCTCGGTTTCTTCTTCCGGTACCCGTGGAACAACTTTCTTCATAACGTGGTATATGACATCGTCCAACAGGTTTTCAACGGACCTATGGATAGGGGTTACAACCCGACCCTCGCTATCAGCCTCTTCGAGGCCGCCGATATCACAAACCAGATCATCAATGGCCAGCTTGCCAGCGAGAAGTCCCAGGCCGAGAACAAGACGCGAATGGGATACATGGGCCACCTCACCCTCATTGCGGAGGAAGTTGTGAAGTTTACCGAGCGCCACTCTCCCGAGCTTCTGAGCGAGGTCGTGCTGGAGAAGGTGATGGCCCAAGACTGGGTCAACTATGTCGAGGGCGCTCTAGCAGAGACCCGCGAGCGCGACAACGCAATCCTCGGCGGCGTCCGCCCAGAGGTAGCCATGAGCCGCGCCGGCGCGCAGGGCCTGATGGGCGCAGGGTTTTCTGGTCTCAATTCGATCGGTCTCGGCGCCGGAGCGTCCAACGCTCTCGCGGACGCCGGACTAAATGGAGGCTCGGACGTTGCTGAGAGCTCTGGCGGCGGCGGGATCGGTCCGTTTGCTATCAGCGCGGGGACTCTTATGAGCGGATTCGGCAGCTCTAGTGACGAGGACGAAGACGAAGAACAAGACACCGAGGAGGATGTTAACAACGAGGTTTGTGACGATGCTTTCCTTGACTTCTTGCTTTCCGACGATGGACAGGAGCACCTGGAGACCGTGACAGGGTTCTTGAGAGAGAGTGACGGTCCCGTTCAGAGCGGCACCGTTATCGGCAAACCGGACTACGACCACCTCCCAGATACCTGGACCGGGTTGGCCTCATCCCCAAACAGGTCCCAATAAGCGTTGCTCGCAGGTTTTCCAGGATGGTGTGTCTATTAAGCGAGCGGTTTGAGGCTGGAGACAACCACCACAGATAAGCCTCGGAGTCGGGGCTCAACAGCGTTCATTTTCTATGTGGCATGGCTTCGTGGTATGAGACATACCAGGGACTGGTACCTGCGTCTTCTCAATAAATCGCAAGCTGCACTTTCGTTCTTTGCGATGCTCGGGGAAGGTGTTGAGTGGTTCTGTTCTGTTATTTCCTTCCCAGCCATCAGATCCCCAGTGGGCAGCCACTCTTTCCTTGGGATGAGCGCCCCTTTCCGTGGGCGCCCAGTGTCTCCCCAGTTATACTCGTCCCCTCTTGCAAATTTTCTGCTCTGCCCAGGCCTCATTATCGCCGGGGCATGTGGGCATTCGCGCTTGCCTGTTATTCATCGTCCGCGGTATCGAAACAGCCGGCTAACCCCTCTTTGCAGTTCCGAGCCTACACCGACCCTCTAAACGCCAACTCTAACACCTTAAATCCGCCATCCATTCCGCCCCCTCCACCTCCACCCCCACCTCTCAACGTGCCCCCCTCGCGAGCCCGCCTCCAACTTGCCGCACGGCTAGCTATGAACAAGCGCAACGCCGCCGCCGCCGCCGCTTCCAACGGCGAACAAGAAGGCAGCTCTCCGCCGACAGCGGAAGACGCTCCCAGCTCCGGCGTCTTCAGCCCCCCCACCACAACATCAAGTGATACGCGCCTGCGGAACCCCTTTGCCGACTACGACGATGACGACGAGGATAACTCTGGCAGCGGCAGTGACGACGGGGAAGTTGAAACTGTCGAAGGCGGCGGCAGGCTAGGGATGGAGACCAATTCGTCCTGGGACCGCGGGTCGTGGTGGCGCGGCGTCGTTCCTGGTGCCAGGCGGGGCGGGAGGGCGGGTGGCAGCGATAACCGAGACGCCGGGATCGAGCGGTTCGGTGACGGGAGAGACGATGATAGCAGCGATGATGAGAGCGGACGGCGATTGGGCGACGTGGATGATGTCGACGACGAGGAGTTTGGCGACTTTGCCATGCCCGAGGTGGAAGACCGCGTCACCGTGTCCGGGATCGATCCCGCGCGAGAAAGCATCCTTGTCAAACCTATGGCCCTCCACCCCACCACGACAACCCTCAAGAGCAGCACCATCAGCCCGTTCAGCAGCCTGTGGCCGTTCTCGAGGGAGAAGAGGGAGGGCGACTTGTTGCCTTCGCAGGGGGAGGGGTCGAACACCAGCACGTCGGCGGGGGCCATGGGGCCCGAGGGGATCACGGAGGAGCCGGTGGAGCTGACGAGGGAGGAGGAGGCCATGATCAGCGAGGACGGGAAGAAGATTAACCGTGCCGTGGAAGCGACGCGGCGGACGAGCATCGAGGACCCGGACGACGATGAGGTGGATGTTGGCGAGGAGATCATTGTGCGCCGCGGTGCCGGGGTCCGCTAGAAGCGGGTCGTTGCTGCTTCGTGGAGTGTTGGGGGGTGATCATGGTGGGGTGTGGGATGAGCGATGGGTACCTAACTTTGGAGTCCGATTTAGAGAGGGTCATGTCCGGGCGGGTTTGGAGGGGGATGGGAGGATTGTGTATCTGTATTTGTAGTCTACGTTAGCTATGGATGCGTGTTGGTTTTGACGTTGGCTGGCTCATGTTGGTGTTTTTCGTGTGTGTTCCAATCCACGGTTCGTAACAACAATAGTCCACTAAACAACAAGGTTTGGTGGACACAGCCGTCACCAGCCTGGGACGGCAACGAAAGCCCCTGGGTCGTTGCTACTCTGTGCCCGGCTGAGCTTATACCTAAGGTACACATTAGAGCCGCTTCCATTTCGCCCTAGTCTACTCGAATCACATTGACGGCCGGGCAACAATAGCATATAGGCGATCAAATAACTGGAGGAGCATTATTTCCAGAAGGTAACAACTTCTATGACATTACATATCCAAGCTGGAAAAAAAACAAAATAAAAATAAAAATAAACAAAAAAGCTCACCTCCCGACCCCATCCGCCGGTCGGATGGAGGCTGCAGGCTACGAAAAACCCCGTTTGGGTTTTTTCTTCGCGAGGGGGGAGTCGAACCCACGGCCTCTTTCGGTTGGCGTTCCACCCGGGCCCCCCCCCCCAATGTGCGAGATGTGTGGGTCACGTGACCCCACATCTCTGTGGGGTTATCCACCCACCTCCCCGCGGTCGGCCTCTTTTCCTCCTGCTTCCCTAGCTTTAGCAATAGCCTCAGAATGTGGACTTCGTCTTCCTGCTTCCAGCCCTGTTGCCTGCTCCAACACAATGCCGTTGAGCCAACCGGTGTTTGCTCGAATTGGGGGAGTCGGTGAAAATGTGGGATGCGGAAGCGGTATGTATACCGTGGGCTGCTGGCTACGGGTGCCAGGAAGGAACGCGGTGGGGGAGGAGGGTTCGGATGGAATTGGACTTTGGTCTGGGTGTTGTTGATATCTCGTTTCATGGAGCTAGGTCTAACAACAACTCAGTCCCCATCATGGTTTTCTCAGTCTATATGTTTATAGGTCTTTTCGATACCTTTCTAAAGCTTCAAATGTAAAGTTCAGTGGCTATACTTTGTCTAATATCCATTTCCCCTACCCAGCACACCCACCTAAGGGGACAAACATGAAGGAGACGGGTTGGCCCGAAACCGTGACCACCACCAATAACAGCTACATCCTACCTATTTCACAACATTTTCGTCGCTCGAGGAAGCGAGGGAAGTCATGGTTTCTCCGCCTCTTCTTCACCGATGCCGCTACGGGGGGACGAGCCACGCCGATAACACCCTATATCAACAACACCCAGTCCCCTCATCAGCAGAAACGCACCGCTCCCAGACAAACCCCGTCGATACGAAAACCAATCCTCCTCACAAAGAGACGCTGCACCACCCTTTCCTCGACACACCTCTCCCTCCTCCCTGACCCTCTTTACCACACAAACCTGCCTTTCCACAGACCCCAACCATACCTCATACCTTCGCCTCGCGCTATTAAGCCGTATCTTCACCAGCCCCAGGTCGCCTCCCACGCTACTTCGAAACCCGAACCGCCACCCCGTTGTCGTCGTCGGCAGCGACGACGGGGACAGGCACAGGAACAGCCCCATCGCCGCGGGCGCAGCACGGGCGGGGGAAACACCCTTCCCCCGCCGCTGCCGACTCCAACGCAACGCCGTTGGCCTCGCCAAGCCAGAGAGAGACGAACCCATCCTGGCGGCACGAGCAAACCGTCCAATGATGCTTCGTCTTGAAAAGTGAACGCATCGAACAAAACGGCGATGGCGCTTCAACCCCAGAAGTTTGAATCCTTTCTTCTTGTTGGCACCTGCAGGGCCAGCGCCCTGCAGGTTGGCCTGCTGTGTGCACAAGCCCACGCACAGTTCTTAGTTTCGGCTGGGGCAGCTTTAGCTGCAACAACCATCGAATCCGTTTGCGGCACTTCCTCTGCCTCAAGACTTCTTCCATCTCCCCCCCGACGGGAGCTCGCGCGAGCAAATCCTCTCCCACATCTGCGTCTTTCCCAGGTGCGGGAATCCTCGTCGCCGACTCATGGCCCCCCGCGGGATGTGTGTGGCTCTGAGCCACGGCGTGAGCCTGGCCAAGCGCCGCATATTTTTCGGAGGGTTTCGTCTGCTGAGCGAAGCGAGGGGGTGTGGCGGCTGTATATACCCAGCCGCCAAGCGGTGTCGGTGTTCGCCGCGGCGGTGGCTGCGCGGCCCGCGTGGTGATTGGGAAGTGGCGGCGACGGGTGGGTGGTGTTCCATGGGTGTGAGGTGCCTGTCTGTCGGGGGGGGGGGGTGGGGGCGCCGGGAGGTTAGCAGGCTGAAGAGCTGGCGTGCATGGGCGGAAGGGAGGGTTCGTCTGCTGGGGGGCGGGCGGGTGGTTGTGGTCGGGGCGAGTTGCTGCCGCAGGAGCGGCGGCGGAGGGGTAGGTAGTTGAAGGTTGCGGCTAGGGGTTGGGGGTGGTCAAACCCATCCATCGCCGGCGATATGGCTCTTCAAATCTAGGAGCTCGGGCCGTTGACGCTGCTCATCTGTAACAGCTTTCTAAGCAGAAAAAGGCGCTGTGCAAGCCCTGATACGGTGGAAAATTTGTCGAGTGCGTGTCGACATGACAGACGGTGTCCGGTATTTGTCGTCCGGCGGACAGCACAGGGGGTACAAGGGCAGAATGGTCGTCGGCCTGCGACCTCTGAACAACCTAGGTTGCCATTCTAGATGCTTATTCTCTCAAACCAGTTATTCTCTGTCAAACCAAGAGAGAATTATCAGCGAGAGGCGAAGGAATACCGAGCATATCATCTTCAGCACTACGGAGCTCACTCCAGATAGCTGGTGCAAATCTCTGCAAATTAACCTGTGGGGAGCAATATTCGTAATATGGGCTTCCCGGTTTGTGGCATGCCCTCAACTATCATTTAATCTCTCGACTACCGATGGTTTGCGAGAGGAGCTGCGGGCGGGATTGCGGGTGCAATATGGGTGAAATGGCTTCTGTGGTATTCCGTCAACCCCGTGACGAATGCGACTGGGCAACAATAACTCCCCCTATTTTTTGGAGTCTTTTTGTGTACATCATGCCATAGACAGTTGTATCATTACAAAACACCCCGTATCACGTTTAATAGTCATAAAAGCCCTTCCCGCTCTTCTTCCCCAGCCAGCCGGCGTCGACCATGTTCCGCAGCAGGACGCTGGGGCGGTACTTGGAGTCGCCCGTCTCTGTGTGTAACACCTTCATGATGGCGAGGCAGGTGTCGAGGCCGATGAAGTCGGCGAGCTGCAGCGGGCCCATGGGCACGTTGGTGCCGTTCTTCATGATGGCGTCGATGGAGTCGCGGTCGCCCACGCCCGTCTCCAGGCAGATGACGGCCTCGTTGATGTAGGGCATCAGGATGCGGTTGGCCAGGAAGCCCGGCGAGTCCGCCGACACCGACGTCACCTTGCCGAGGCGCTTGCAAAAGGCCACGGCGGTCTCGAGGGTCTCGGCCGAGGTCTGGAGCCCCGAGATAATCTCGACGCCCTTTTGCACGGGCACCGGGTTCATGAAGTGGGTGGAAACGACGCGTGAGCTGTTGGAGGTGTCGGTGGGGTTGCCGCCGGTGGTGGCAGCGGCGATCCGGGTGATGGAGATGGAAGAGGTGTTGGTGGCAAGGATGGCATGCTTGGGGCAGATTTGGGCAAGCTTGGAGAAGATGTCAAACTTGAGCTGGGGGATCTCGGGTACGGCCTCGATAACAAAGTCGGCTGATGAGAGGTCGTCGATGGAGGTGGTGGGCTGAAGCAGGGCGCGGGCGGCGTCAGCTTGCTCTTGGGTAAGGCGCTGCTTGGCGACATCTTTAACAAGGAGCTTCTCTAAAAAGGGGTTTAAGATTATTTAGTCAAAGTTCCCAGCTGCTGTGAGAATTGGTTCTCACGAACCTGCAAAAGCCAAGCCTTTGTCGAGGGAGGCTTGGGACGAGTCAACCAGGGTCACCGGAACCTGCGCCTTTTGAGCTGCCACCAAGGCAATACCAAGGCCCTATTTTTAACAGAACACAATGTCAGATCTCGGTTCGCAGGTCGGGCAACATGATGGTGGTGTTGATGGGTTGATGGGTTCATCGCTTCATACCATCTGACCTGCGCCAATCACACCCAACCGCTTCACTTCGGCAGCTGGCCTTGCAGCTGTTGAGCTGAAGTATCTCACTCGGCTCGAGAGCCGTAGCGCCTGTCGTGCCGCCATCATTGAAGCAGCCATTGTTTACAGGAAGAATTGTAAGATGGGAAGTTCAACCGAAGCTCGACTTGTGCCGGAGATTCAAGGTCGAGAGCGGTTAACCTCGGCCATCCATCCATGCACATGGGCCTCGAGCACACGAGTCTCAGCTGACGTAAGGCAGCGGGGCCAAGGCGCCGTTTACAGGCCCACAACCCACGACAGGGGCCGAGGCTTCTGGGGCTCAGCAAGTTCACCCCTGTGGCGCCATACGGTCACGCCTTCCATCAACTCGATTTCCGGTGCATCAACTGCAGCAAGCACGAACCTGCGAGGTACGCCGGCGCGCATTCGTTTTTTGGGACCATTTCTGGATTACATCAAAACGCGCAACCAGGGGACCTCCAGCAGGCAGACCTCATCGGAAAACTCGGCATCTTTTGGTCAGAGGTAAGGTATTGTATATAGCATCGAGTGCTGATCCGAAGCCGGGTAAAGCCAGTAACTCGCAATCAATGCTGCCGATATCTTCTGCCGTCTCGAAACGCGTGTCGTCCCCATTGCCACTTGTCAGGACGTTTTCCCGGTCGATCGTTCCTCTATTATCGCTCTACCACCCAAGTGTTAATTGACTGTTTGCGTATTTGAGTAGCCGCACCTCCAAACTTGACCACCTTGGCCGCATACGCCTTCACTTGCGATATTGCAGTTTCGATATTGCAATTGCGATATTGCTTGCATTTTTACTCCTAGCAGAAGCTCACCATGACGAACCTCACCCAAAGAAAACAGCGAAATGACACAAACCCCAAAGCCGACCATGACAAGGAGGTGGTTCTCCGGCGAGAACCGCCGCCTTTCCTCACGAAGCTCATGTATGCCGGCTACATGTACGGCTTGAAGAGCATCCTGGGACCTGTGCTCTGGCTGCGCGACTGGCAGGAATCACGAGCCCCTCCAATGGGCTGGCCCGACATGATCAAGACCTACGATTGCCGCCCACAGTTACCCGTGCGGTAAGCCAGCATGAACCCCATCATATGGACTCAAACGTTCACAGTCTGACTGGGCACAATCCAGCATCTTCCTGCCGCGCGCCTATAACAAGAACTCGCAGGCCACGCTCCCCACCCTCTTCACCATCCACGGCGGCGGCTTCTGCATCGGCCACCAGCGCGACGACGACGAATGGAACCGGGCCTTTGCCAACACCCAGTCCGTCCTGGTCATCTCCCTCAACTACTCCAAAGCGCCCGCCCACCCCTTCCCCACCGGCCTGCACGACCTCGAGGCTCTCCTGCTCGCAGTCCTCGCCGACGCCTCCCTCCCCATCGACCGAACCACCACCAGCCCCACAAGCCGCACGGCCATCCTGGGCTTCTCGGCCGGCGCCAACCTCGCCCTCTCCGTATCCCGTACGCCCACCCCAATCAACCCCCCACCCCTATACCACCTCCCCACTACCACCCTACTTATCCCCCTCACCAACAGAGCTCCCCACCATCCACACCCACCCTCTCACCCCCGCCGCCGCCCTCTCCGTCTACGGCTGCCTCGACGTCAGCTACCCGCCGCACGAGAAACTGCCCAACCGGCCCTGGAAAACCTCGCTCCCGCCCCCGCGCAACTCCCCCACCGACGGGCTCATCTCGCTCGCCCCGGCCTTCGACTGGAGCTACATCCCGTACGGGCAAGCCCTGCGCGACCCGCTGCTCAGCCCGCACCACGCGGCGCGGGACGCCCTGCCCCCCAATGTGTGTGTGGTGGCGGCCGAGCTGGATATGCTCGCGCATGAGAGCTGGCGGTTTGCGTGTCGGTTGTCGAGGGAGGGGTTTGGGGCGGGGAGGGGGGAAAGGGTGGTGCCTGATCGGGGGAGCGCGGAGGCGAGGTGGAGGGTTTGTGGGAATTCAGTTGCGGTGGGGTGACGACTGGGAGGGGGGCAGT